GTGTCTGTGTGTAGAGAGAAAGAGAGAGAGAGGGGGAGAGAGAGCGAGCACACACCGTGAGTCTTCACGTGGCATTGTTCCCCAGCCAGCCTCTCCTGGTGGCTACGTAGAGGAAGGTTATTTAAATTGGATCTTTTTTTTTTTCCACAGAGACTGCAGTTATTTGTCCTTATTGGAATAAATTATTTTATTTTCTTGCTTTATTTGTTGAAATAAATTCTTATCCTAGATCTGATGTTGCCTTCCTTGTCTGGCTTTCTTCTACTAGCACCACTATATGTAGATGTATATAGAACGTCTTCTCACCTGTGGCCATAGCAGCACACATTACAGCATCTCTAATCAAGAAGCTGATTGTGTAGAAATCAGTGGGACAATAGACTCATTTCATGATATTTACCTAGAAGCAGGTGGCTTGATAGAAAGATAAGTCATAGTTAGGATACCAGCTAGAATACAGCACTGTGGGAGTTTGGGGCACTCACTCAAGTTACAAGATATGCCTTAAACCAGCAGCCAATATGTAGTGTAATTTTTCTTACAGACGTAATAGACTGGTTTAAGGACCAAGGTCGAAGTAGGACCTCTCTATTACATATAATAACCCACCTATCAAAGTTTTGCATAATATCCCTACATCCTTTAGATTGGTGATACAACTCTTAGTGGTGGATGAAACAAGAAAAAAAAGTTGGTGAGTTGGGAGGTTTGGGTGCCCATGACAGAAATGCTTCCACCAGTAAACAACAGGAATGGCCCTTGTAAATTGGAAGCTGAGACTGCTCTCTGGCAATTTTGTAGTCCTCATGTTGAAGAACAAAGGGGCAGAAAAGAAGGTTAGTTTACTGACTGGGTGATTGATCCTGATTACCAAGGGGAAATTGGATTCCTGCTTCATAATGGGATGACTATGTCTAGACCTCAGAAGACTCCCATATCCAATAATTATGGTCAGTGGCAAACTAATAAAGGTAAGTCTTTGGCGAGAATGAAATTTTAGGCCCCTCTCATCAGTTAAAAAAAAAACTATTCATGCAGGCCAAAATGCTCAGAGAGTAGAGGAGAACATTGGAATGATTGTCAAATAAGGCCTCATGACTAGTTACAGAAGTGGGGACAGTAGAATCTATATTTTGTGATAACTGTTTACTTCTCCCCTTTTCTGTTTATGTGAAACAGTATTTATGTGAACATAACCGCTGAAGGTTAATTTCACAGTTTAGCTCCAAGTGGAAATTTGATTGAGTTGACATTATTCCCAGGTAATACAAGAGAGGACTCACAGGATTTTGTGTTTCTCCTGTTTTATTTCTAGTTATTCTTATTCAAATGAAAGAAAAAAGTAGATGAGCTGTGCTGATTGTTTCCCATTTGCCATTCCAGATCCACTCTTTATCCTTCTTTGGCCAACTCTGCACCCTAACAGGGTGACTTCTAAGGACCACTGCACCTGTGCTTCTCTACCCTTTAGCTTTTAAACGGTTCAGCCAATGGAAGGCATCAAGAGGAATATGAAGGATAGAAGGAGAGAGAAGTCAGGGTCTTTCTTCCTCACTCCCTCCCTACCAGACCAGTGGCAGCATCTTGATTCTTCTACCTCTTTCATGGCCACAGCTATTGCTGGTTTGGTAACACCTCAATCTTCCCTCACACCTTCAGGCCTCAGCGTGGTTACAGCTTCCAGCTGTTGCTAGACCCAGGAGTTACACCATCCCTTATCCGTTCTCTCAGTCCTGTCCACATCACTGTAAGTGATCCTTTCATCAAACTCTCTTCTGTTAAACTTTTTTTTTTTTTTTCAAAGACATAATCTCGCTGTGTCGCCCAGGCTGGAGTGCAGTGGCACGATCTTGGCTCCCTGCAATGTCTGCCTCCCAGGTTCCAGCGATTCTCCTGCCTCAGCCTCCCGAGTAGCTGGGACTACAGGCGCGTGCCACCACGCCTGGCTAATGTTTTGTACTTTTAGTAGAGATGGGGTTTCACCATGTTAGCCAGGATGGTCTCAATCTCCTGACCTCTTGATCTGCCCACCTCCCAAAGTGCTGGGATTAAAGGTGTGAGCCACCGCACTCGGCCTTCTATTAAACCTTTTTTTATTTTTTAGGGCAAGGACTGAAATTCCAATTTTTAAAGTATTTGTTGCTGAAGTATAAGTATTCAATGAAATGCAAAGATTTCAAGTGTACAGTTTAGGGATGTTTGACAAACATATACACTCACGTGACCACCATCCCCAACAGGATATAGAACATTTTCATCACTTCAGATGTTCCCTTGTGTTCCCTTTCTGTCAAAGGCAACCACTGTGTTGACTGTTGTCACCACAGATTAGTTTTGTCCTTCTTGAACTTCATATAAATGGAATTACACAGTATGAATTGTTTTGTGTAAGGCTTCTTTCACTCTGTATGCTATCCTTGAGATTAATTCATGTGTTCAGTAGTTCATTCAGTAGTTCATTCCTGTTATTGTTGAACAGTATTCCATTGTGTGAATATGACAGTTTTTCTATTCATCTGTTGATATCTGACTTGCTTCCAGTTTTTGATCATTGCAAATAAAGCTGCTATGAACAGTTGTGCACAAATGTTTTTGTAAATATAGGTTCTCATTCTTTCGGATATACTCCTAGGAGAGGAATTTCTGGGTCCTAAGGCAGGTATATGTTCAGATGAAACAGCCGGTCTTCTAAAGCAACCATATCAATTACCCTTAGAGCATGCCATCTCCTCACATCAGAACAGGCCAAGACAACTGTGAATAAACATACTCTTTAAAATGTCAGTAGAATTAAGTAGTAATACTCAATTGACTTTTAAAAATGTTATGGCCGGGCGCGGTGGCTCATGCCTGTAATCCCAGCACTTTGGGAGGCTGAGGCAGGCGGATCACGAGGTAAGGAGATCGAGACCATCCTGGCTAACACGGTGAAATCCCGTCTCTACTAAAAATACAAAAAATTAGCCAGGCGTGGTGGCGGGCGCCTGTAGTCCCACCTACTCGGGAGGCTGAGGCAGGAGAATGGCGTGAACCCGGGAGGCGGAGCTTGCACCGAGCCGAGATTGCGCCACTGCACTCCAGTCTGGGTGACAGAGCGAGACTCCGTCTCAAAAAAATAAATAAATAAAAATAAAAATAAAAATGTTACTAGGCAAAGCTCCTCAGTGAGTGAGTTGGTAGCTCTGGCAGGTACCTTCTGATCCCTCCCCTCTGTTCTCAGCACTAACCAGGCTTTAAAATGTCCCCTGCAGTCCAGACATGAGAAGTCTCACTCCTTAGGTTACCAGCTAACTGTTAAAAGGGAAGGAGCTGGCCAGGCATGGTGGCTCATGCCTGTAATCCCAGCACTTTGGGAGGCCGAGGTCAGTGGGTCACGAGATCAAGAGATTGAGACCATCTGGCCAACATGGTGAAACCCCATCTCTACTAAAACTACAAAAATCAGCTGGGCATGGTGGCGCACACCTGTAGTCCCAGCTACTTGGGAGGCTGAGGCAGGAGAATCGCTTGAACCTGGGAGGCAGAGGTTGCAGTGAGCCGAAATGGAGCCACTGCATTCCAGCCTGGCCACAGAGTGAGACTCCGTGTCAAAAAAAAAAAAAAGAGGGAAGGAGCTAAGTAAATTCATTTATACTTGTCAGGCCTCACTGCATTTAACACCTCACTGCGTTAATAGTTACCACGCCTGGCTAATTTTTGTATTTTTGTAAAGATGGAAATTTCACCATGTTGGCCAGGCTGATCTCCAACTCCTGACCTCAGGTTACTGGTCGGTCTCCGCCTCCCAAAGTGCTGGGATTACAGGCGTGGGCCACCGTGTCCGGCCAGTATTTGTATTTTGAAAGCAAAGTTTAATTATCCAAAAGAATTACTCACTAATAGTAGCCCTTGTAGTTGATGGGAAGTAATAAGGAGAGAAGAAATCTTTTCAGTACATTTTGACAATTAATGTAAGCTGAAAAATGACACCTGTAGTAAATCAGATGTGGATTCAAATCCAAGTTTTTACCGTGAAAAGAAAGTAAATTCTTTCAATGTCTGTGTCCTGGTTCATTAAATGAGGATAATCATCTGCGCCTTTAGCATCAATCACTTGTTCAATTGTAAGTATGTTTTATTTAAGTGTGAACATTTTTAGGACAGATTGCAGCCACATTCAGGGTCTAGCACAGGGGCAGGCATGTTGTGGACACTCAATAGATGTTTGTTGACCCATACATGAATATAAAAGGGATTTGCAAATTGTAGAGCACCACGCATGCCTCAGTTATAACAATACTTATCTTTATTACTCCACCTATGAAGAAAGCAAGTTCTTCTCTCACTGGAAGTGCTGGTGGTGGGTAGACAGGCTGGGGGCGAGCAGGAAGAAGGAATGAAGTCAAACAGGGACCTCTGCAGCAGAATCCATTGGGACACTTACTTAGAATGTAGATTCCCAGACCAGACCGATAGAGTCCGAATCTCAGACCCTTTCGAGGTCAAACAGCCCTGATTTGGGAGGTGGGTGATAATGGTGACAACCTCATTAGCGCTCTTATTGCTCCTTGAGAAATACTAGTACCAGGCAAAGTGGTGAAGGAAGCCTTCCTGAAGCTGTCCTTTCCTCAGTGACTCTCAAACTACGCTTTTACGAAAGAGGAATTTCGCTCTTCCACGAGTTTCATACCTTAGAGTGAGGGTGGTAGGTAAGTTAGATTTTCCTCTCTTCATTAAAAAAAAAAAAAAAAAAAAGAAGTGGTGGTGGGGAGGGGGAGAAGGCCAGCTGAAAAGTAGAGGCCGAGGACAGAGTTAGACACCCGTTTTCTAACGGTCCTGCCGGAGGGGCTCGGCCTCTCAGACTGCGTCACCCTTTCGCCAAGGGTCCCCAAGACGGGCGGGGGCTCCCTGCGGCCGGCTCGCTACTCTCCCCGCCTCCTTGCGCCCTCACCCTCCGCCCCGCTGTGCCCGCGGAGAGCGCGGTCCGGCGCAGCCCCTTTTGGCACCGAGGTTTCCAGGTGCCCAGCGCGAAGGCGGAGCCGGGTTACAGCCGCCTCCTCGGCGCCACAGAGAAGACCCCCGGGAGTTCGGCGGCCCAGGCGCTCCGGCTCCGCGTCCCGAGCCTCCCCCGGCTCTCCGCGCTCCTCCCTCTCGGCGCGCCCGGCGCGAAGCCTGCGATTCGCGAGCCGAGCGCAGAGCGCAGAGCCGAGTGGCGCACGCTGGGCAGTGGCCTGGGCAACCCCAAGCGCAGCCAGAGCCCTCACCCGAGCCCGCTGGCCCGCGCACTCCCGGACCATGACTGCCGAGGGACCCAGCCCGCCTGCCCGTTGGCACAGCCGCCTGCCCGGGCTCTGGGCGGCGGCACTGCTCCTGCTCGGTCTGCCGCGCCTTTCGGTGCGGGCGGATGGTGAGTGTGCGGGAGGCGGCGGGGCGGGGGGTGGAGCGTGGGTTCCGGGCAGGGAAGGCGTAGCTCGCCGGGGCTGCTCCGTCTGACCAGCCTGGCAAGCGGCAAGCGCAAGTCTGAGAGGAACGAGCGAGCGGCGGTCCTGGGACCCGGCATCCCTCTCCTGGCCCACCAAGTCTCCTCGTGCCCGTGCGCCCAAACGCCCGCCTGGTGCCTGGACCTCCCTTAGTGCCGAGCGCGCAGGTCCCGCAGTCCCGCCGCTGGCTTTCCTAAGGTCTCCAAGAAAGCTCAAATGAAATCACCTCTAAGGTACCCTGGAACCTCCTCTGCTAAGGAGTGATTTTCCGCAGTCCCTCAGTTTCTCAACGTCTATTTAATGTGCCCCCGAGGACACCGCCGATGGTTAGAAAACTCCCTCGGATATTTTGGCTTGGTCCAGGAAGACGTGAAAGATAAGTGGGAATCAACGAGGCAAAGAGAGAGAGAGAAGAATAGCCTGGGCAGAGGGAATAGCACGTGCAAAGGCTGTGACAGGAAAAACGGGACAAATGATAAAGCAAAGTACCTGGAGGAGAGGGGACGCCTTGAGACCTGAGGTAGAGAAATGGGCAAGGGCCAGATTATGGCAGGTTCTCTGAGAATTTATCCACTTTTTGTTTGTTCGCTTGTTTTTTGAGCCTGAATTTAGCTTTTAATACTTGCCCTAGAATGAGCAGGATTGGAACTCTGTATCCATTCCGTTTTGAAAAGCTAATTCAGCTGTGTTTTCCTATTGGAACAAAATCCCGCTGACATGGTACAGGAGCATCTGAAGGAAGCAAGCTTAAAACCAGCAGTTCTCACACCCATGAGGGAGTTCTAGCTTAGGACGAATTATATTGATAAAAGAGAAAAGCCCTCCGTCGATTTAGGATGCGTTGTGTATTTTAAAATGTGATTCTTGTTTAGCCAACGATATTGGGTGCAACTAGAAGACACGAAAAAGAAAAGAAAAGAAAAGAAAAAAAGCATGGTTGTCAGGGAAAGGGGAAAGGCAAGGAAAAAACCCTCTAGGTCTTAGTTTTTAGTGCTCTCTGGTGTAAGTGCAGGCTTGAAAAGCTCTTCGTTCCTAATTAAGGATGAATGTCTTATTTCTCCATATCCTCAGAGACTATGTTAGAGACAAAACAGTTTTAACTTTGAAGGCTGTTAGTAACCACTGTAAATTTTTTAAATTGACATGTACTTCACATAAAATTTGTCATTTAAAAATGTACAGTTAAGTGGGTTTTAGTACATTCATTATGTTGTGAAAACCATGGTTTGCATGCATCTAATTCTGGAACGTTTCCATCACCCCCAAAAGAATCCCATACCTACTAGCAGTCTACTGATAATTCTTCACTGTAGTGTTTTTTGACTGACGTTGAACCATGAAAATTAAGCTGATTTTAAAGAATGCAAGTAGAATAAATTGGAGCTCATATTAACCTTTGAACAAGATATATTGTGCCAATTTTAATTCCTTTTAAGTAAATATTTTTGTCATCCGTAAGGTTTTAGAGTTTCACCCCATTATAACTGTTTAACTGGAATGCCATGTGGATAAGGATCAATATTTTGTGCCTCTCTAGCTTGATACGGGTCATAGAAAATTAAAGGCAGAAATGTCACTGGTCAAAGAGAAAGTAAGGACAACACCAGAGGACATGATTCTTTGCCTCCTTCCTTTTCTTTCCCCACTTCCTCAATGGACAATTATAGGTATATTTCCTTTAAAGAAACTCAATTTTCTGAGCCCCAACATTTATACTAAAACCAGGAAGAGTTATAAGCTATATTATCAAAGGATCCTTTTTGGTACTAAATTCTTAACTACCACCAGTTCCTACATTTAGTTATTTGTGTGCTGTGGTGATGGGAGGAAGAAGAAGAAATGCTCAGCTTAAGTATGATGAATTACAGATATTTGAAGAGAGAGATTTGGAGAGAAACTATTTCTAAAAACATGTCATCTGTATAAGGATAGTCTGTGAAATTGTATGCGTGGGCAGAATCCTAAGGAAAAATTTTACAGCAAGAAGACATAGAACTGAGCCTGGAGTGAGGGAAGCTGGTTTGGGATTATTGAATCTATGTTCATGAAATATATTGGCCTATAATTTTCATTTTCTATAATATCTTTGCCAAGTGTTGATATCAAACTTATGATGGTTCCTAAACCGAATTGGAAAGTTGTTCCCTCTTTAACTCTCTGAAAGGGTTTCTGCCGGTGAGGGCTTTTGTTTGTTTGTTTTGGTGTGAGATCATCTGTGTCTGAAGGTTTTCATGTAGGAAGATTTTAAATAATAAATTTAATTTCTTTAGTAGATAAAGAAATATTCAGATTTTAAAATTAATTTTGTGTCAATATTGCTAAGTTTTGTTTTTTAAAGTTTTTTCCCCACTTCATCTAGATTGTCTAATGTGGCATATGCAATGTAATAATTTCTAATTATCATTTCGGGGTCCACGGGATCTGTAGTGATGTTCCCTTTCATTCTTGATATTGGTAATTTGTGTTTTTGCTATTGGTAATTTGTGTTTTCTTTTTTTGTCTTGATCAGTCATACTAGGGGTTTATCCATTTTATTTTCTTGATTGTATGTCTGCTTTCCATTTTATTGATTTCTGCTCTATCTGTATTATTTCCTCTTCCTACTTTAGAAGATTTGATTTTGTGGGACTTTTGTGTTAGTTTTTTGAGCTAGAAACTTAGATCATTGATTCTCAACCATACTTTTTTTTGTATTAATAATATGAGTTCTGAGGCTATAAATTTCTCTTAAACTACTTTAGTTTCTCCATAAGTTTTTGGCCCTTGAATTGACATGTTTTATTTCAGTTGTGATTTCTTCTTTGAACACAGTTTATTTAGAAGTATATTTTGTAATTTCGCACAAGGGGATTTTCCTAGTTATTGCTTTGTTATTGATAGGCAGTATAACCAAGTGATTGAAATCACTAACAGGGAGCCATACTGCCTGATTTTGTATCTCTGCTGTGTGATCTTGGACAAGTATTAATACTAAACCTTAACTATAAAATGAGGATGATAATACTACATATATCATAGAGTTGTCATAAGGATTAATATAATGAGTATTTGTAAAGCAATTTGAACAACATCTGGCCCATAGTAAATACTATGTAAGTGTTTCATATATAAAATCAGTGATTTTAGCTTTGTTGTAGTCTAAAAGGCATGGTTGGTATGATTTTTGTCTTTCAAGGTTTTTTTAGATTTGCTTTATAGCTCAGTATTTAATCAGTGTTACAAATATTCTGTGTGTGCCTAAAATGAATGTGTATTCTGTAGTTTGGTATGCAGTACTGCACGTAGGTTCTTACATCAAGAGTGCTAATTTTGTTTTCTGTTTTAGCAATTACTGAGAGGGACAGTAGTTTAAAATTTCCTCCAGGATTGAATTTTTTTGTTTTTCCTTGTAGTTTTGTTGATATTACCTTTTTATAGTTAAATGTAGGAGTACCAGTCACCTATGGATATGTTTGTTTAATTTTTTGTATTATTATAACTTTTGGTTCCAAAGCTGGGGAATTATTATATTTATTATAATAATTTTGCAAGTAGATGGCTTGTCTTAGTCTTTTGCAAGCAGATGACTTGTGTCTTAGCTGTGTCTTAGTCTAATAACTGATGTATTATGAAAAAGTTGGTGACAGATGTAAGTAAATGGTCTCATTCTAAGTAGGTGTTTTCTCCCCCTGCCTTTACCTTAACTTGATAGGACCACCCAAGGCATTGCTTCATTCCTCCAGGAGGCTCCTGGGGACCTCAGCGCTCCCTCCGGTACCATGGTTTTCTTGCCTAAAATTCTCATCTGCTTTCGGCGTGGGCTTTCAGCTCTGCCTGAATTCATGTTCCCATCCCTCCATTGATCACACATTCTTTAAGGCTCATTACATGTCCATACGTTATTGTGCTTAGGAAGCCAAGGTGTACCAGACATCATCCCTGTTTGCTTGTCCAGTAGGAGAGAAGTACAGCAGACGCAAATGAATGTATTGTGAAAGGGGCCTGGTAATATACTAAGGCAAGGGACAGAGAGAAGGGAAGCAACCTGTTGTATAGGGGGTCATCCTAGGGCTGAGGGAGGCAGAAGAAAGCAGAGCTGAGGCCTAAATCAGTGCCTTAGACATCAAGTGACCTAACTTAGGGAAGCCTAGGACACTGAGCCTTGACACATGATATTTGTAAAACACCATTTTAAAAGAAAGATTTGAAGGGCTTTTCCAAATCGACACGCCGGAGCAGATGGTTAATTTTGAAAAAAAAAAAAAAAAGGGTGAAAATGCTAGTGTAATTGTCATCACCTGATCCCAGGGATGGTGTGCAATGTGGTAGCTGCTGCACTTCGAACTTCAGGGAAGGACTGCAGTTCTAACTGGCGTCTGCCAGAGGATGAGTTTGCTGAGACTAACTTCCCATGGATCCTGAAATCCACATGTGTTTGTGCTTGTCCCCACACAGGAAAGCTCTTTGTGCTGGAGTCTCAGAATGGCTCTCAGGGCCTAGAACTGGAGGCTGCTCGGCTTTCCTGCAAGAGCAGGGGCGCTCACCTGGTGTCTGCAGACGAGCTGCGGAGAGTGGTACAGGATTGCTCCTTTGCGGTGTGTGCCACTGGCTGGTTAGCAGATGGCACTCTTGGGTAAGTCAGGCGAGCGCTCCTTTTCCAACTCACCCCAATTGCACCACCAAGGCTTATATAGGGCTCAGTGATTGTTCTGTTGAGATACCAGTACAGGGAGAGTACAGTGGGCAGTAGCCTCCAGTGTGTTCATGTTTTGCTTTCTTTTGTGTGAGATGGAGTCTAGCTCTGTTGCCCAGGTTGGAGTGCAATGGTGCAATTCTAGGCTCACTGCCACCTCTGCCTCCCAGGTTCAAGTGATTCTCCTGCCTCAGCCTCCCGACTAGCTGGGATTACAGGCATCTGCCACCATGCCCAGCTAATTTTTGTATTTTTAGTAGAGGTGGGGTTTCACCATATTGGCCAGGCTGGTCTCAAACTTCTTACCTCAGGTGATCCACCTGCCTCGGCCTCCCAAAGTGTGAGCCACCGCACCTGGCGTGTGTTCATGTTTTGAGTTTGCTTATAAAAGCATTTTTCTGGAGTTCTGTCAGAATTCTTTTATCCTCTTACTTTGTTATGTTGAATTTTCTTTTTTTGTTTTAGACATAGGGTCTCACTCTGTCAACCAGGCTGGAGTGCTGTGGCATGGTTAGAGCTCACTGCCGCCTCAACCTCCTGGGCTCTAATGTTTCTCCTGCCTCAGCCTTCTGTAGCTAAGACTACAGGCATGTGCCACCACACCTAGCTAATTGTTTATTTTTATTTTTTATAGAGATAGAAAATGCTTGCTATGTTGCCCAGGCTGGTCTCGAACTCTGACCTTAAGCAATCCTGCTTTGGCTTCCCAAAGTGCTGGGATTACAAGCATGAGCCACCCTGCTTAGCCTTGAATTTTTTTAAGTAATAAAAATAATACATGCTTATTGCAAAAATTTCAAATAATGCATATATATACATAAAGTACAAAGTAAGTTTCTCTCTTCTTCTCCATCTCAGAGATAATGACTATTAACTGTTTGGTATGCATTCTTTATCCCTTTTTTCCTGTGGACACTCATCTGCATATATATATATATATATATAGAAACATGGCATGGAGGTTTTAAAATATGGCCACAATTTTTTTCACACCACTGGCATCAACAGGTGTGTTCGCCTCTACAGCAAAAGTGAAATTACTTGACTTCTGAAGTTAGGCTGGAAAAATCCATGCTGCATCTGTCTAGATTTCTGGGGACACTCACTTTTGTAGCCTTGAGATGCCATGAGGAGTCTGACTGTGCTGAGATGGGTGTGCTGTGAGGAAGGCCAGATCACATGGAGATATCTCCGTTAGGGGCTCTTGCCAACAGCCGTAACCAATATCCTAGCCCGTGGCCAGCATTAACTGCCCAAAATGTGAATGAAGATGCCTCTAGGTGATTCTAGTCCCCAGCCATTGAGTTATTGTCAGCCTATGAGTCTTGCCAGCTCAGCCCCTAGACTTTATATGCAAAACAAGCCATTCCTACTGTGGCTATCTGAGTTCCTGACCCGTGGAATCCTTTAGAGAAGTAATTGTTATGGCCAGCTAGGAGAAATCGTTCCAATAGTGCTGAAACCTGCTTGGTTTTACATTTTTATTTATTTATTAATTTATTAATTTTTTTGTAGAAACGAAGTCTTGCCATATTGCTCAGGCTGGTCTCAAACTCCTGGGCTCAAGCAGTCCTCTGGCTTTCATCTCCCAAAGTGATGGGTTTACAGGTGTGAGCCACCATGCTTGGCCTAATTTTATTTTTTAAATTGACAGATAATAATTGTATATATTCATGGAGTACGTAGTGATGTTTTGACACACATAATGGAGAGTGATCAGATCAGGGTAATTAGCATGTCTGTCATCTCAAATATTTAGCATTTCTTTTTTGCTGGGAACATTCAATATCCTCTTCTAACTGTTTGAAATGATGTTATTGTTAACTACGGCCATCCTACAGTCGTATAGAACACTAGAACTTGGAACACTCATTGGGGAAAGGATAGTATCTTCAATAAATGGTGCTGGGAAAACTGGATATCTATATGCAGAAGAATAAAATTAGACCCCCACCTCTCACCTCATATAAAAATCAACCCAAAATGGGTTGTAGACCAAAATGTAAGACCCAAAACTATAAAACTACTAGAAGAAAACATAGGAGGAATCCTTCAGGATATTGGTCTGGGAAAATATTTTAATAAGATCTCAGAAACACAGGCAACAAAAGCAGAAATAAACAAACACTTCTTTAGTCATGCTCAGAGAAGGCAGGAGCCACTTCACTTTTTCCTTCGTGCCACAGGAAATGTGAAAGCAAACAAGGCACCAAGAACTACTTTGGTAGATGATTATCCTAAGATGTCTGGCTGGCAAGTGGCCATGGAAAACACAGACAGCCATGCTGACTCATGTCTCCAAATGTGCCAAGTATGAAGCAGCAACTGAATAAAGGGACAACTGAGGCTACATCCAAAGCCTTTTGGTGAATCTGGAACTGTGGTCCTCTCTGCCTTATGTTTTATATCCATGCTCTTGAATAGACAAAATGTACCCTGTGCATGCATTTCCATAATGTAGTCAAGCAGGAATATTTTTTCATAATTCTGTTACTACAAAATTTCATCAGATAACCAGAGTATTCACAGATTCTGAAGAGACAGCTTGCAACTAGGCTTAGGTCTCTCAGGCATTGTATGCTAGGACTGGACGATTAGAAAGGTCCATCTTCTGTGGATTTACTGTAAGGTGTTAAGGCATATTAGTGGATCTCTGCAGGCTGAAATGATATTACCTTACAAAGAAAACATACAGCTGGGTGCAGTGGCTCATGCCTGTAATCCTAGCATTTTGGGAGGCCACGGCAGGTGGATTAATTGTGGTCAGGAGTTCAAGACCAGCCCGGCCAATTTGGCGAAACCCGGTCTGTACTAAAAATACAAAACTTAGCTGGGCATGGTGGTGTGCGCCTGTAGTCCCAGCTACTCAGGAGGCTGAGGCAGGAGAATCACTTGAACCAGGGAGATAGAGGTTGCAGTGAGCCGAGATGGCGCCATTGAACTCCAGCCTGTGCAACAGAGCTAGACTCCATCTCAAAATAAATAATGACAGAAAGAAAATAAAGAAAATATACTTGTTATATTTACTACACAACGTATTAAAAATAGTTTTTCTATCCCTTTTTTATTTTTTTAAATATATTACTCTCTTTTCACCATTCCTATTAAATATCCTTTCATTTTAATTTTCTGGAAACAAGCATCTGACCATTAGGCCCATCTGTGGTTCTTTCCTGCATAGTTCTCCACTCCCTCACCACACACTGAAAAGCAATGATTAAATGTGTGGTGCATCTTGTAATTGATGGCATAGTAGACATCTAGCACATCTGCCCTATATCTCTATAAATTTATGTTGAGTGTACACGTAAATCCAGAGAATGATAAAGGCCTAGAGTGATGAATTTAGACTTTTCGGCCACTTATCTCCTGGAAACTTTTGCAGATTCCCTAAAGGGTGACTAAAAAGCTAAATAGCAGTTTTAATAGCCACATGGGACTAGGGGGATGGAGATTTGAATTCACCTTCTGTGTAGGAGGGGACCCGTGAGCCGTTTTGCTTTGGGTTGGGACCTTGCAGGGCTATGCCCTAAGGGTAAGCTGGACACAGTACACTGTACAGTGAACTGGACGCAGGCCCTCCTGGGAGAAGCAACACATCTTCAAATACTCTATAGCCATGAATTTGGATTGAGATGACCCTGAATTTCCAGTGCTCCAGATATCTAGGAGAATCAAATAAAAATTATCTTTTGAGGGAGATAGTATCCTAGACCTCAATTTATTTCAACAAACAATTTAGCCAATGCAGGATTTGTCTCACAATATAAAATAACTAGTTGCATGAGGAGACAAGGCAAGTAGAATAAAATTCAGAAGAACCAATAGGTAATAGAAACTCCAGACATTAGGATTAGTAGATACAGACTTTAAAATAACTATCCTTGACATGTTCAAAGATATAAAAGATGAGAAGGAGAATTTTGGCAGAGGGTGGAAACTGTAAAAATAACTAAATGGAAACTCTAGACATGAAAAATTCAGTAACTAAAATTAAGAAATTAATGGATAGACCTAATAGCTGATCAAAAAGAGCCAAAGAGGGCTGGGCATGGTGGTGCATGCCTGTAGTCCCAGCCACTTGGGAGGCTGAGGCAGGAGGATCACTTGAGCCAAGGAGTTCAAAGTTTAAATACAATCGAGACAACATAGTGAGACTTTGTCTCTAAAAGAAAGAAAAGAAAAAAAAGAAAACAAAGAAGAGAGAGAAAGAGAAAGAAAAGAAGGAAGGAAGGAAGGAGAAAGAAGAAAGAAAGAGAGAGAAAGAAAAGAAAGAAAGAAAGAAAGGAAGAAGGAAAGAAAGGAGGGAAAAGAAAGAAAGACTTTTAAAAAAAGAGCCAAAGAGAGGATTAGTGAACTGGAAAATATTTCAGAGGAGGATATCCAGAATCAATAATGGAGGGAAAAGGATGAAAAATTATACAACAAAGGGTAAAAGACAAAGAAGATGCAATATAATTTGAATTATAAAAGGAGAAGAGAAAGAAAAAAGAAAATAAAAGTAATATGAAAATGATCCACAATTGAAGAAAAACATCCAGACACAGACTCAAGAATCCCTGCAAAGCTCAAGTAAGACAAATACAAAGAAGTTCACAGCTAGGCACATCATGGTAAGACTGGAAGAATCATATATGAAGAAAAGAATATTTTTAAAAATTAAAAATGCTGAGATTGTCTTTAAAGGAGGAACAATAAACTGACAATGAAACCCCAAAGACTTTTGATATTTTGAAGATACAGAAAGAAAATTACTGCTAACCTAGAGTTTTATCCCCCAATGAAAAATATCTCCCAATAATAAAGGTGAGATAAAGAAATTTTCAGACAGATGAAAGGTGAGAGAATTCATTGCATCCAATCTGCACTTAAACAAGTGCTCTTCAGGCAGGAGGAAAATATTGCATGAGGAAGCCTGGAAAGGCAAAAAGGAATAAATGGAAGGAGTAAATATGTGGACCAATTGAAATTATGTAATTGTCTGAAGCAGTAATAGTAACACTGGATGCTAAAAAAAATGATTTATATAAGTGGGAAGTGTTTTAAGTGTATTCATGTGTAGTGTTTTAAGTATTTCAAGTTGTATTATTAGGGACAATGATAAAAGTAATATTACATTTCAATAAGTAAAAGAAGTTATAACTTCTGGGAAAGAAAATAGTGAAAGGATATTTAATTTCCAAATCAATACAGAGAAAAAAGAGAATACTACCTCCAAAAATGAAGAAGAAGAATTCAGATAATCCAAAGTGGGAAAAAAGAAAGAAGAGGAAAGGAAGAGAGAATGGGCAGAACTAATAAAAAGCAGATTTCAATTAGATTGATGATTAAATTGAGTATAAATAGACAAGAGGCTCCAATTAGAAAACAGAGATTGTGAGATGAACTTTTAAAAATTCAAGTATTTGCTGTTTAGAAAAGATATCCTTAAATAAATTATGGGAAAAAATTATAATGGAAATTATCATGTATTTAGAACTCAGTGATATTAAAAATATACATAACCAAACTCATGGGGTGCTGCGAAAACTATAGAAGGAAATCTAAAACATTAAGTGTTTGTTAGAAAAGGAAAAAAGCTGAAGGTTCATGAACTAAAGATCTAAAGAAGTTTGAAGAACAGCAAAATAAGAGAAAAAGAAAAGAGCAGAATTTTATGAAATAAAAACCAATATAATCTAGAAGAGATCCACAATATATTGCCTTTGAAACTCGAATTGATACCTATTACTTCAACTGAAGCATCACCTGTATTTCTGAATTTAGACTTTTTTTGCAGAGAATGTGTCCAGATTTATGCTTTTAGACAGAGCTCATGAATTCGGAGCTCATGAATTCAGAGCCCACGATTCGGAGCTGACAACAGAAGAGAATTATTCCTTATTATTTTCAACCCAGAATTCTCCTCACTCAGTGCCTTTTTTGTCTGTTTCAGAACAACCGTGTGTAGCAAAGGAAGTGGAGAACAGCAAATCATGAGAGCTGTTGATGTGAGAATTGAGAGCAACCCAGTTCCTGGTGGCACATACAGTGCCCTTTGTATTAAGGATGAAGGTCAGTGCCAGAGTCTTCTTAAAGATGCTGGAGGGTGTGCTCTTGGGGGTTGCTATATTAGGTTGGTTTCTCTAGAAGAAAACCTTGAAGTGAGGATTTACTAGACATGGTTTATCAGGAAGTCTTCCAAAGAAAAGCCAATAGTACGGTGGGGAAGTGGACAAGACAGGGAAGGGGGTCAAGCATCGGTGCAATATTGAGCGAAATTCACAGTGGTGGTGAGGTGCCGGGTAACTTTGACTCAATCACTCAGGAAACCCCTGGAGATAGTGTATGTATGTAACCCCAGTTTTTCTGATTGGGGTGAGGGAGCTGCAGTAGTTATACCACACCTGTCAGGCATGAGTGAAGGCTTGCTTTAGGAGATATAAATTCCCAGGTTCTTCTGTTTTTTGCGTGTGCACAGGCAAAAGGTTCCAGTAGCCTGAGTGCCACCTTCCAACAAAGAGGCGAAGGTGCCTACCAGGAGTCCCTGTGCATGGGAATGGTAAAAGTGTCTAGAGAATATGGGCAGAGCCCTAGCAGCATCTGATACAGCGGCTGATGTTCAAAGCTTGCCCTCCAGTCTCTCTTCGTATTGGACAGTACGCTGAAAAGAAAACAATATGTTTTTCCCAAAAAGGAAATGTATAGGATTTAGGAAACTGTTTACAGTAAGGAAAATTCAAATTCCTATTGGGAAATCAGCTGAGTGGTGAGGAGAAAATCATAAAGAAGCCTCAAGGGCAGCATTTTGTATGCACCAAATAAGTACACCTCTGTTATCAGAAACACGTGTGGTTGAAAAAGGAATATTCGTGTGAATGGGGAAGGGGAAGCAAGCTTCTTACTGATCAGTCATAGAAACGAGCACGGGTTCTTCTTGGCTGCACACTGGACTCATCGGGGGGGGAGGGTGTTAAAAAATACTGATGCCTCAGTGCTAGCGCTAAAGATTCTGATTTAAATGTTCTGGGTTTTTTTAAACTCCCCTGTGATTTTAATGTGCAGCCCAGGTTGAGAACTCCTTCTGTAATGTAGTGTTTCCCAGACTCCCCTGATAGTGTGAAATACCAGAAGAACTTGTTGAAAATACAGATCATCTGACTGCATTCCAGAGGCACCAAATCCTTATCTCCAGGAAAGGGGTCAGAAGAGTTGGTAAAAGTAAGAGTCATGGTGATCCCTAAGGGCCTTCTGCTCTGGGGTCCCTCTCTAGGAAGGGCTCTGCATCTGCTGGTTTCTATGGAAGGGTGCTGGGAGAGTCTCCTGTCATCATTGATCCAATCAAGCAACTGAGAGATGTGACTTGGTTTTCAGAAAATCCAGGGAGAGCAGTATCTGTGGTTTATTTTTTTTCTTAAAACACACACACACACACACACACACACACACAGACACTCACACATTAGTAAATTTTTTATTTTTATTTATTTATTTATTTTGAGACGCAGTCTTACTCTTGTCACCCAGGCTGTAGTGCAATGGTGTGATCTCAGCTCACTGCAACCTCTGCCTTCCGGGTTCATGCGATTCTCCTGCCTCAGCCTCCTGAGTAGCTGGGATTACAGGTGCGTGCACCACCATGCCTGGCTAATTTTTTTTGAATTTTTATTAGAGACGGGGTTTCACCATGTTGGTCAGGCTGGTCTTGAACTCCTAACCTCAGGTGATCCGCCCGCCTCGGCTTCCCGACATGCTGGGAGTACTGCACCTGGCCCACATTAGTAAATTTAAATAATCTTTTAAATTCTAAACATAAACAGAGGGTCATATCCCTGAGGGAGACAGGACAGAGCCAGAAGAAAAACAGGACAACATTTTTTCTTCAGTAATGTCAAAGAAATACGTAGGGCTTCTGAGTCTTATTTCTTTCTCCAATAAACAAGATGTATTGGTTAGCTTTTGCTAGCTAACATATCACCCCAAAATGTAGTGGCTTAAAACAGCAACTATTTATTTAGCTTACAATTTTGTGAACCACCGATTTGGCTGTTTTTCTGCCGGTCTTGGTGGGACTTCTTCATAAGTCTGTGGTCAGCTGCTGTTAGCTAGGTACCCTTGCTTCTAGGAGTTGGCTGGCCTTTGGCTTGGGTGACAAGGGCAACTGAACCATGTGTTTCTCCTCACCCAACAGGCCAACCTGGGCTTTCTACCTCACAGACCATCGAGCAAGTTATGTGTATGCAAGTGTGTGCCCCTTTTGCCCACAACTGTAGTGCATGAAGTCAGAGGTTGAGAACATCCATTCATGTCCTATAGGACACCAAAGTCAACATCATGATAGTGACCCCAGATTAGTCATGGGCAACTCAATATATATGATACATTGCACTCAGAGGAACACATTGATTCAGTGATTCATTTTTTGCATATTCCTTCCAAAAGTGTGTAACTGAATCTAATCACAAGGAAACATTAACCAAACTCAAATTGAAGAACATCCTACTCTTTTAAAAAAAATGTCAAGAATAAGAAAGGCTAAGCAACTGTTCTAGATTAAGATAGACCAAAAAGACTTGTCAATGAAATGCAATTCATGATCCTGGATTGTATCCTGAACTAGGAAAAAATAGTTATAATTGATGAAATTTGAATATGGATCATGAATTAAATAATAGTATTGTATCAACATTTAAATTTTCTGATTTGGATAACTGTACTGTAGTTATATAAGAGAATATCCTTGTTTTTAGAAATGCACACCAAGGTTTTTAGGGACGAAGGGACATCCTATCTACAACTTACTCTCCAATGGTTCAAAAAACAATTATAGATACACATATATACATATTCACATGTATATGTATACACACATGTATGCGTGTGTGTGTGTGTGTGGTATGGAGAGAGGAAGAGAGAGAAGAGAATGATAAAGCAAATGGGAAGATGAAAACACATTGGTGAACGTGCAAGAAGGGTGGGTTCCTTGCTTTTATAATGTTTATATAACTTTGAAATTATATAAAAATTTAAAATCTCAAAAAGCTCAGGCTGTAGCCAGATGTAGTGGCGCATGCCTGTAATCCAAGCCACTCAGGAGGTTGAGGCATGAAAATCACTTTAACCCGGGAGGTGGAGGTTGTGATGAGCCGAGATCACATCACTACACTCCATCTTGGGCGACAGAGCAAGACTGTCTGAAGAAAGAAAAAAAAAAAAAAAAGAAAACCGAACAAACAAACAAAAAAAGCAAAAAGCTCTGGCCAGCATGATGGCTTATGCTTGTAGTCCCAACACTTTGGAGGATAACTTGAGCCCAGAAGTTTGAGACCAGCCTGGGCAACATAGCAAGCTACGTATATATACATATGTGAATATGTATATATGTGTGTATCTATAATTTTTTTTGAACCATTGGAGAGTAAGTTGTACATATGATACCCTTTGTCCCTAAAAACCATCCCTTTGAAAAGTAAAAAAATTCGCCGGGCGCGCCCTGTATTCCCAGCTACTCTGGAGGCTGAGACGAGAGGATCTCTGGAATTCAGGGGTTTGAGGCTGCAGTGAGCTATGATCATGCCACTACACTCCAGCCTGAGCAACAGAGTGAGTCCCTATGTCTCTCTCAAACAACAACAACAACAACAACAACAAATGGTCTACATACTCCTCCAAAAACAGCAAAAACAACAGCAGCAGACAAAAATAAACCTAAGACACAAAATAACACTGAGTCATGGGGAGCCGGTTGGAGAGAGTCAGTGGAATGGGAGGGTGTGGAGACCCGGGCACAACGAGGGCACGCCGCCAGAAAGCTCGGCAGCGAACTGTCCGGATGTGTTCCAGAGGCAGAGTATCCATGTTGCTGTCGGCTTTTGGGCTTCCTGAGCTCATCGTGGCCATGCGTGAGCCTAGCAGAATGGCAGGCTTTAGATGAGGCATGTGCTGAGGCTCCCGTGACACCTGTTGGCATGTATGTGAAGACTGGATGCCGGATGCCATTTGAAAGGAGCGGGCGTTATGTATGGTTCATCACTATTACAGTGCTCGAGGGCCCTGTATCCCAGAGCAGCTCGCCCTAGCCTAGCCTGGGCAAGAGCTGCACAGGGCAGGGGTTACAGGGAAGACAGGAGCCTTGGTCCTGCTGGGCCTACTTGGTGAGGAAGCTTCAGGTGAGCCATGAAGAGGACGCAGAAATGCATGCGGAGATGGCACGAGGACTACAGGACTGTTCTCCTGGGGCCTAACAGAAAAGCAGGATGGATTCCCACAGTTACTCAGAGAGAGTTCTATCCCTGCCCCTCTGCCTTTTCTCCTTTAGAAAGAGCTTGTAAACGGCTCCTGCAGGGCCCTCCGCCCTTCTCAGCAGAGTTGCTGCTTTTCCTCAGTAGAGGCTTTGTTGATAGCACAGTCAACAAGGGAAATCTGTTTGCCCAAGGAAGGTGCAGTGCCTTGGCGGAAGCAGAGGAGAACAGGCTGTGCCGTGAGGTTCCCGTGTGAGTGTAGGTGAGGTCCAGCTCAGCAGATGGCCCCGTGCAGTGTTCCTCCAAAGCTTGCCTTTTTCCCCGTGATGCTGCATGGCGCTAAGCTGCTTCTCTTTGGCAAGACTGGAAGAATGAAGAGTGCTAATTCCAAAAACGGCAGACATGTGCCTCATAAAGAGCCCAGAAGGAAAACAGAGCCTGTGGAATGTTCGTTCAGGCAGCTTCCTCCTGTGTTTCTTTATAGAAATAAAGTTCATCGTGAATGTAGACTTTTCTCAGTTTCCTTTCAGTATTTTTGTTTCACTGACAGTGAATTTCCAACCCTGTGGTGATCTCACTTAAACTAATAAGTGAAGTTATTTTTAACCGACTGGATTCTGATGAAATAAGCTGCCTCCTCTTGGGTCTTCTGGCGTTGCTGCTCTTGGCAGCTTGTCTGTGGGGTCTGCAGCTTGGGGTCTGGAGGCTTTGATTTTCCTCCGACCCTCTGTTGCCCTGAAAGCCTCCACTGAGTGTATGCTTCTGTTTCTCCTGATCTAAGACAGGTCTGGCCTTGCTTCCCTCTTCCCAGCCCACTTCACCTTCTTAGTACTG